AAATATACTCTCCTGTGACTTCTCCACTATCTCTGACATTAGTCATTCCTCCATAGCACTCTTTCCCTGTTGGGTTTGATAATTCATTGCAGTGATCACAGAGAACTCACAGAAACACCATATCTACAATAACAACTTTAATGTAACAGAGAAAGAGGCAGTGTACCAAAAGTGAGTGATCAACACAGTGGTGATGAGGAAGAGGAAGACACAGAGAGGTACACAAGAGGTACAGGCGACAAAGGTAAATCCTTTTACATACATAATACTGCATAGTCAGTGATAACAAACATTAAATCTATGGGTAAATAAATGGGTAGACAGGCTGAATGATCAGGTATGTGTAGACAAAAAGGAATATACCCATGACCATATATAAGGTTGGCAGACAATATTTCTACATGTGTATTTGTATGTGCTGTAAGAATGTCCAAATATATAATAGAGCTAACAAGGGGCAAAGTTGTGATAACATCTCGACCACAGCCAACCGCAAGTAGTTGGACCTGTGGGCTCGGGACTGTGGTTGCAGGGGACGTGAAGCTCAATTGGCATAACATACTACACAAAAGTAGTGTTCTACAGCCTTCTTTGGTGTGTAGCAGCTGGGGTCTTAAAAGCTTGCAAGGGGCTATCCAGATGCAACAATGGGTCTCTCCTCACCCAAAGCGAAGAAGAATGAAGAAAACCAAAGATGCATGGAAACAATTCCTCAGAAGGAAGGTTGGGCAATCTACTTCCGTAGTGATACTGCCTCGGAAACCCAAGGAGGGGTCGCTGTGAGTTGGATCCAACTCCATGGCACTTAACAACAACAACAGATCACACAGTCCTCAACCTATATGACCATCAGACCATAAGAACTAGATGGTGCCTGGCTACCAGTGTCAATCACTTGGAAAGAGATCAGTGCAGGAGATTCTGGCTAGAGGGAGAACAACGTGGAATAAAACTCAAAACAATTAAAAAAAAAAAAAAAAAAGACTAGGTTTACTAGTCTGATAGAGCCTGGTGAGACCCCCCGAGACTATGGCCCCTAGTTGCTCTTCAGGTCTGGTATTGAACTCATTCCTGTGGCTTCCAGCCAAACAATAGACAGGCATATGTTGTTGTTGTAGGTGCCATAGAGTCATCTCTGACTCAAAGCGACCTATGCATAGAAGAGTGAAACACCGCCCAGTTCTGCACCAGCTCTGTGATCCCTGCTATACTTGATTCTGTCACCGCAGCCACTGTGTCAGTCCATCTCGTGAAGGGCCTTCCCCTCTTTCATCAACCCTCCACCTTACCAAGCATGACATCCTTCTCCAGGGAATGGTCCCTTCTGATAACATGACCAAAGTAGATGAGACGAAGTCTAGCCATTCTCGCTTCCAAGGAGTATTCCTGCTGCACTTCCTCCAGGACAGATTTGTTAGTTCATTTAGTCCATGGTACTTCCAGCTTTCTTTGCTAGCAGCACCATAACTCAAAGCATCAATTCTTCTTCGATCCTCCTTATTCATTGTCCAGCTCTCACATGCATATGAGGTGATTGAAAATATCATGGCTTGTGTCAGGCACACCGTAGACCTCAAGGAGACATCTTTGCTGCTCAGCATTTGAAAGAGGTCTCTTGCAGCTGACTTGCCCAGTGCTATACGTCATGTGATATCCTAATTGCTGCTTCCATTGGCGTCAGTTGTAGAACCAATCAATGTGAAGTCTTTGACAACTTCATTATTTTCTCCATTTATCGTGATGCTGCTTATAGGTCCAGTTGTGAGGATTTTTGTTTTCTTTATATTGAGATATAATCCATACTGCAGACTGTATTCTTCAGTCTTCCTCAGTACATGCTTCTCATCCTCCCTTTCAGCAAGCAAAGTTGTGTTGTCAGCGTATCACAGGTTATTAATGATTCTTCCTCCAATCCTGATGCCAGGTTCTTCTTATAGTCCAGTTTCTCAGATTATTTGCGAAAGGATACATCCCTGATGCACTCCCTTCTTGATTTTAAACCATGCATTGTTCCCTTGTTCTGTTTGAACTACAGCCTCTTGTTCTATGTACAGGTTCCTCGTGAGCACAATTAAGTGTTCTGGAATTCCCGTTCTTCTCAATGTTATCCACAATTTGTTATGATCCACACAATCAAATGCATTGGCATAGTCAATAAAACACAAGTAAACATCTTTCTGGTATTCTTTGCTTTGAGCCAAGTTCCATCTGACATCAGCAATGATATCCCTTGTTCCATATCCTTTTCTGAATCCACCTTACATCTCTGAAAATTCTGTCAATATACTGCTGCAACCGTTTTTGAATTATCTTCAGTAAGATTTTACTTGCATGCGATATTAATGATATTGTCTATAATTTCCACATTCTGTGGGATCACCTTTCTTTGGAATGGGTACAAATATGGATCTCTGAAGTCAGTTGGCCAGGTAGCTATCTTCCAAATCTCTTGGCATAACCAAGTGAGTGCCTCCGGTGGGGCATCCACTTGTTGAAACATCTCAGTGGGTATTCCATAAATTCCTGGAGCCTTGTTCTTTGGCAGTTCCTTCAGTGCAGCTTCAACTTCTTCCTTCAATATCATTGGTTCTTGAACATATGCCACCTCCTGAAATGGATGAAGATCGACCAGTTATTTTTGGTACAGTGACTCTGTGTATTTATTCTACTTCTTACATGATTCAATATTTTGCCCATAGAATCTTTCAATATTGCAACTCGAGGCTTGAATTTTTTCCTCAGTTCTTTCAGCTTGAGCAATACTGAGCACGTTCTTCCCTTTCTTCCCTCTAACTCCAGATCTTTGCACATTTCATTATAATAATCGGCTTTGTCTGCTAAAGCTGTTCTTTGAAATCTTCTGTTTAGCTCTTTCATCTTGTCATTTCTTCCATTTGCTTTGGCTACTCTCCACTCAAGGACAAGCTTCAGAGTCTCTTCTGTCATCCATTGTCTTTCCTTTTTTTCTCATCTTATTAATGACCTCTTGCTTTCTTCATGTATGATGTTCTTGATGTCATCCCACAATTCTTCTGGTTTTCAGTCATTGGTGTTAAATGCATCAAATCTATTCTTTAGATGATCTCTAAATTCAGGAAGGATACATTCAAGATCGTATTTTGACTCTTGTGGGCTTGTTTCAATTGTCTTCAACTTCAAGTTGAACTTGCATATGAGCAGTTGATAGTCTGTTCCATAATCAGCTCCTGGCCTTGTTTTGGCTGAAGATATTGAGCTTTTCCATCACCTCTTGCCACATATGTAGTCAGTCTGACTCCTGTATATTCCATCTGGTGAAGTCCACATGTATAGCTGCCATTTGTGTTGTTGAAAAAAGATATTTGCAATGAATAAGTTGTTGGTCTTGCAAAATTCTATCATGTGATCTCCAGCATTATTTCTATCACCAAGGCCAAATAGACAGTCATATGTGTGTGTGTGTGTGTGTGTGTGTGTGTATGGTGAACATTGACATCAGGTAGATACATTCCCTAGAGCAATTAATCATGGGAGAACAGAATGGCAGTGATAGCTCAGAGGGTGAGGTGGGGGCAGAATATATAGGAAAGAAGGACACAGAGAAGAGGTGACTATGGGGAGGAAGTAGGAAGAGAGCTGTTACATTGTAGGGAATTGCAGTCAATGGCATGAAACAAAATGTGTATGAACTGCTGTATGGAAAATGAATTTGCTCTGTAAACTTTCACCCAAATCATAATAAATATTATACACACACACACACATATATGATACAAACTGAAATGAAGGTACACAAAGGGTGAGGTTCAGAAGGGGTCCCAGCATGAGTTCTCTGTCTCTCAAGGAGACATAATTTGTCTCAAAAGGGACCTGCTTACCCTTCCAGAAAACTGATGTTCATTCTTAGTTCATTCTTCAGTTTCATCAGAGAAGTTTTATATGACCTGTGATGTTATGTGGGGGGAATCCACTGTCAGGCAGTAAGTTGCTACTCTCAGCTGGCACCTAGCACCTCCCAGCCCGCTCTTAGACATCCTTCTTCAGGGCATGCCCCGCCTCTGAGAGTGTTAGAGCTCTTGGCCCAGGTTTGGCCTTTGCTCTGTGCTGCCATATTTGGGCTGCTCGTTGGCTCTGCCTCTTTTGAGTCGCAGCCACTACCTCTATTGAGGTTTTAGGTCTACCTGGCTTAGGAGGTTTTTACTGCAGGGCCTCTGTGCCCAAAGGATGCATTCCCTTCCTGGCTCTCCTCAGTCAGGTAACCCCATCTGAGCCTCTCTGTCCTAGAGTTTTTATCAGTCACTGGGCAAACCCTCCATCCAATGGTAAAAGTCAAATACCACTCTCAGGAACTGACCTTTGCCTAATGCGTTGGGGGGTGAGGAGGTGAGAGCTCTGACTGTTCCTTGGTTTGGCTGAAGAGGACCCACCCAGGGCTCCCCAACAAATCCAGGTAAAATTCAGATTGCCTTTTGATAAGGTATTTAATTCCATACCACACACACGGGCAAGAAAATTAACCTTTTTGTGCTCAAATTTCCACATCTGAGAAGTGGACCTAAGTAATCCACTTTATAAAGTTGTCCTGAGAATTAAATCTAAAAGGTTAAAACATTCTCACTACTCACTTTATTCATAACCAATAGCAGGGGGCAAGCCCAGAATAATTGCCTGTTGACTAAATAATAAGTACTGGTTGGTTAAATAGACTGGGGGATGTATAAAAGGGCCAGATCATCAGAAGCCTTCATGCTTCTTCCTGTTTTAGGTGATGATCTCAGAAAGGCCACCCTCTTCTTCACTTAGCCTACCTGGGACCACATTTGTTACTCCCATGTGGCTCAGTTTGAAAAATAAAAATGGGAACAGTTCCTGTACTAAAGGATTTCTAGTGTAGTACATTAAAAAACAATAATAGTAATAATCAGAACACACTTTTTCCCTATAGCAATGTGAGAAAGCTTCGTGAATCACTGCTGCATTAATTAACAGCTTTATTTCATTTTCTTCTTACTTTACCTAAGGCTGCTATTGTACCATCTGCTCAGACCCTGAAAATTACTGACTTCAGCTTCAGTGACTTTGAGCTGTCTGATCTGGAAACGGCACTGTGTACCATTCGGATGTTCACTGACCTCAACCTTGTGCAGAACTTCCAGATGAAACATGAGGTAGGAATACAGTGTTGGTTTTTGGAAAAGCACAAGTGTATGTGTATGTGTATGTATATGTGTGTATAAGAAAGAGAATTAGTTTTGAAAGCAAATAGGAAATAAGAATTTTTCAATTTCAGTGATTAATACACTGTTACAGATTGATTTATGTCCCCAAAAAAATGTGTTGTAAGTCGTAACCTCTGTGCCTATGGGTATAATCCCATTTGGGAATGAGTTGTCTTTGTTACGTTAATGAGAAAAGATTAGCCTAAAGTATATCTTAAGTAAGTCCTTTTTGAGAGTAAAAGAGATTAGAAAAGCAAGCAGAGGAGAGATGGGGTATACATTGCTGCCAAGCCACACAGGTAGAAGTAGATTGCCCAGTCTTCCTTCTGCAGAGTGACTGGTGGGTTTAAACCACCAACCTTCTGGTTAGTAGTCAAATGCCTTAGGTGCTGTGCCACCAGATTTCCTTCAGAGATCATCTCCTAAGAACCACAAAACAAGCTGAAGAGACAAGGACCTTCCCCCCAACAACCAAGAGAGAGAGAAAGCCTGCCCCTCCAGCTGGTGCATTGGATTCAAACTTCTACCCTTCTAAGCTGTGAGAAAATAAATTTCTGTTTGTTAAAGCCATTCACTCTTGGTATTTCTGTTGCAGCAGCACTAGATGACTAAGACATAAACCATCACCTAATGCAAACCCGTATTTTTAAAGAAAAATTATCAACTATTAAAAAGACTCTGACCATCTGTCAAGCACCAGATTGAAGAATAGAGGAACAGTAAACCAAAAAGTGAGAACAGGGTTTGCAAAGGCAGGATGATGGGAAAGATTAGGGATGCAGAGAGTGGAGACTAGTTGAGGGGGTGAGAGTGGTAAGAGAATCAACTGGAGAGAAAAATAAGGGGGCTTGATGTGAGCCCAAGCTCTTGGTTGAAATAACATGGTAACCCACATAGGGTAAAGATGAAAACTGATTTTAACCCTGTTGGGTACCTTATTCTCAGAAAGTAGCAAAGCCTTGCAATACCTTTTAATATAGTTTGGAGATATCAGGGAACTCTGTTTTATAGTGCCTGTATAGGTATATAATAAGGCAATCTCATGGTGTAGTGGTTAAGGCATTTGGCTGCTAACCAAAAGGTTGTTGGTTCAAATCCACCAGCCACTCCACAGAAAAAAGAGGAGGCAGTCTTCTTCCATAAATATTTACAGTCTTGGAAATCTAATGGAGGTTGCTGTGGGTCAGAATCCACTCAATGACGGTGAGTTTGGTTTTTATACAGGTATATAACATCAGACTCAAACCATAAAAACCAAACTCACTGCTGTTGAATCAGGTCCAACTCATAGCAACCCCTCCTTGGGTTTCCGAGGCAGTATAACTACAGAAGTAGATTGCCCAACCTTCCGTCCAAGGAGTGGCTGGTGGGTTTGAGCCACTAGCCTTCTGGTTAGCAGTCAAATGCCTTAGGCACTACTCTACCAGAGCTCCTAGGGAGCCTAAAACCAAACCAAAGTCACTGCCATAGAGTGGATTCCGACTCACTACAACCCCCATTGGGTTTCCGGGGTGATAAATCTTTATGGAAGTGCCTTGCCTGGTCTTCCTTCTATGGAGTGGCTGGTAGGTTTGAACCACCAACTTTCTGGTTAACAATCAAAATGCCTTAGGCAGTGAGCCACCAGAGCTCCTTAAGGGAGACTAGAAAGGACTTTTTGAAAAAAAGTCATAATAATCTTGTCAGTAATAAAGTCAGTAATCTTGCCTTTAAAGTTATTTTTTCTGATCTTGTTCCTCATCCTACATTGGGGAGTAGTGACTGGGGTCTTAAAAGCTTTCAGGCGTCCATTTAAGATGCAGCTAATGGTCTCCTATTGTCAGAAGGGAAAAAGAGTGCAAAAAAACCAAGGTCATTTGGAAGCAATCAGCCCTAGAACATGATGGACTTCAAGACCAGAAGCACTAGATGGTGCCTAGCTACCAAAGCCAACCACTCAGGAAAGAATCAAAACTGGAGATCCTGGATAGAGTGGGAAGAAAAACATGGAACAAAATCCAAAAACTCAGTAATGACCAGAATTACTGGTCGGATGTAGTCTGGTGAGAGCCCCATTGCTATGGCCCTGGGGTACATTTTGGGCTGGGCCTGGAATAAAACTCACTCCCAGGGGCTGGCTCTCAGCCCAATAGTAAACAAGATGTATATGCAGACAGCTCAACCCAGGGTGACACACCCACATACTCTATGGAAATGCATCCCTTGGAGCAATCGACCACAGTTCACCAGAGGAGCAACATTGGAATGGAGGAAATTGCAGGACTCACAGGGGTGCATAAGTATGAGGGTCATGGGAAGGAGGTGGGGGGGTTATTGGGCAGGGAGGGGAGGAGATTGGGTTAGGGTTGGGGATGGTAAATGGGGAATGAAACTAAATGTACACGAAATGTTGAATGTAAAACAGACTCTGCTCTGTAAACTTGCATCTAAAGCACAATTTAAAAAAAAAGTTATTTCTTCTAATCAGTTCAGTATCTAGTCTCCTTATAAAGATTTCTTATGAGGAAATTTAAATATCTTGAAGGCCTTTACTTTTCAGCAGTCCATTAATTCCTGCAATGAATTATGATACATTTGTGTATCAACCACTATGCTAGGTGTACCTTTCAGAGATGAGTTGTCCTTGCTCTCACAGCCCTCACTGTTAGCCATGAAAACTAAGCTCATTATTATGTCATTATTATGGTGTTATTGGGAACCCTGAGTCTAATTCTTTCTTGAGTTTAAAGGTTATATTACTCTTTCTTAGGTGAAAACAAGAAACAACTATCTGTAGACTGTTCTCTAATACTACTTCACTCTTGTTAGATTATGTTGACTAAGGTATATCGTTTCATTAAATCATTACAACAAGCACTCAGGGAAAGTTCTTTGTTTATTACTGTCACTATTTTGTAAATGAAGAAATTGAGACAACATGGTAGAGTAGAAAGATCATGGATTTTGAGTTGGACAGACCTGAGTTTGCATCTTTGATCTACTAATGATTCTTATTCCCTTGAGAAATTTACTTAAACTCTTACATCCTCAGTTTTCTAATAGGTTAATTGGGAGTAATGTTAATACCTTCTTCATGGGAGTCTTGTGAGAATTATAAATGCATCTATGTATGTATCTATGTGTGTTGTTGTTGTTAGGTCCCATCAAGTCAGTGTGTGTGTAGATGTGTGAATATTCTACTTAACACACAGATACAGAGTATATGTGAATTACCCCATTCTTAGGCAAAATTTGACTATAGTAATGTCATTTCCACAAAAGTCTGTATTGTAGATTAGTGGACTTGATTTTTCAATATTTTTCTATTAATAAAATGAAGACTTCATTCAGTTCTGCTTCCTGTTAGTTACAGTAAACATAGATGACTTCTCAAATCTCCTTCAATTCCCAAGAGCTTTCATACTTTAAACTTACTAGTAATGCTTCTGTTGAAGGGGATTGGCCATAACAAAGTTATGTGATTCTTGTCTCTGTTTATGGAATTTTTATAAGTTGATTTATTTCTTATTTGGTTTTTAGATAGCATTTGAGGGTTGAGTATAAAGATAGTTACTCACAGTTTCTTTAGCAATCTTCATTCTTACCTTTTCTTGAACTTTTATCCATTAGGCAAATATTTCTCCTCAATTTGTGATTCATCTACCCTTCTTTTCTGTTTGAATAACTACTACTCTAATTCTGGTCAACATCAGCTTGAACATCACAGTCATTCTGGTTGGCCTTCCTGCTTTAGCACCTCTTCTGTTTTATTTATTTTAGATATTACTGTCAATATAATTTAGTATGATGCAATTAAAATGTTATGACTGGAGAGGATGTTAGCATCTTGAAGCTTCCCTGACAAAGAATATTTCCTGTTGAAAGATAAGTCAGAGTTTCATGTCTTGGCTCGACTTACAAATCTCCTTGAATTACTGTCCTGTAACCACCCCACCAACATTGCATTTTACCAATCTCTGAAACAGATTCTTTGCTCTACTCAGAATATCTGCATGTGCTGTACTTATTTTTACCTTGTATTTTCCACATGTCATTCTTTCTCTGAAGAATATCTGCTCCATTTTATGCCACAACATAGTTTTCTCTTGCTCGGCCTGGCCCTAGAATCTCTCTTCATGCTCCTTGGATTGCTGTTTGACAGTTTATAAACTTGTGCTCTTGGTTTATATGTCAGTTTATTTATTTTTTGTATGTATGCTTGTACTTTTGTTATTTCCATTACTGAATGAATTTCATGAAGGCAGAAACTGAGCTGTCTTTTATGTTTCTTCCTTTTCTCCTATAGCATCTTGAATATGTCACCAGATCCTAGGAAGCCTTCTATGGTGATTGAATACTAATTCAGTGTAATGAACATGCTCTCTAGAATCATCCAAACTGCAAATAGCTAATAGTCCTGGACCAAACACTAAGTCACAAATTTGAATGTTTCTCCTTATCCACTGGGCACATAACAGATCTAACCACCATTTCCCAGGATACTGTTTAGAACATGCTGATGACAAAATCCAAAACTGTATTTAATTCTAGTTATTAACCCCTTTATGCATTGTTGTTGTTGTTGTTGTTGTTTGCCGTCGAGTCGGCCCCGACTCATAGCGACCCCTCCTTGGGTTTCCGAGGCAGTATCACTACGGAAGTAGGGTTGCCCAACCTTCCTTCCGAGGAGTGGCTGGTGGGTTTGAACCGCCAGCCTTCTAGTGAGTAGTCAAGTGCCTTAGGCACTATGCTACCAGAGCTCCCTACCCAATTCTATTAGCCCTTTCTTAATAGAAGTGCAATCCTATTGCCATCAAGTTGATTCTAACTCGAAGACCTATAGGACTGAGTAGAATTGCCCCCATAGAATTTCCTAGGCTAATATCTTTACAAGAGCAGATATTTTCTTCTGTGTAGCAGCTGGTGGATTTGAACCACTGACCTTTCAGTTAACAGCTGAGTACTTAAACTACTGTGCCATTAGGGCTCCTTAGAAGTGCTTTAGAATAGTCAACTAGAAATCAGCTGCATAGGGTCATTTTGGTTATTGTTTTATACGATATGGTATATGTACACATTTAACTATATTTACAGATTTATGAGTAATAAAACCATAATATATCAAGTTTTTCTTGCTCATTTAATTAATGACCTATTATTTTCTATAACACTAAACCACATGGTTTCTAAGTATACCAAAGAAAGTTTATAGCTCTTACTCAACAATCTCCTAATAAGAAAATCCATGACCTTCTTGTCAGACTTTGTTCAGAAGTGGTCATAATAAAAGAATCTGCAGTGTACTTGGGGTTAAGACATATCAATCTTGAAAAAAAAGATTGCCATCAAATCAATGCAACCTCTTATGTGTCAGAGTAGAACTATATTTACTCCAAAAGGTTTTCAATGGCTGCTTTTTCCAAAGTGCACCACCAGGCCTTTCTTCCAAGATGCTTTTGAGTGGGCTTGAACCTCCAACCTTTTCTTTAACAGCCAAGTGTGCTTACCATTTGCGCCATCCAGAGACTTCCTACCAATCTTAAGCACACTGAAACCCTCTCTTTGAAATACGATGATGACTCATGGAGAGAAGGGCTAGGAGACAGTAGGATTCTTTGTTACCCACACTCCCGGTGAATTAAGTTATAGAATAAGAACAGAAAGACCTAAAAATAAAAGGGAGAATATGAAAACATTATTTACACACAAAATCATCTGTAAGCAGGTTTCCACCAACAGTGAAGAAAGCTTGTTTTTGTCCTGTCTGCAGCCCATCATACCTTGTTAGTTATGGTCAAAGGAATGTTCTTTCCCCTGGTACATTTTCCATTCCCCAGGCAGTGCTGTTTGTGTTTGAAGAATCCCCATTTATAAATGCAGGAAGAAACATGTATTTATCTTTACAGATCCCCAAAGTATAATAAATCACTCTAATTTGAAGAGATTCTAATACTAACACAAATGCCAAATAACCATGCTGAGAGCCCACGAGTCCCTGGAAATGTTATAGAATGTGGAGCTCTGGTGGCATAGTGGATGAGGCATTTGGCTGCTAACCAGAAGGTCAGCAGTTCAAACTCACTAGCCGCCTTACTGTAAAGATTTACAACCTCGGAAACCCAACAGAGGTCACTATGAGTCAGAATCAACTCAATGACATT